GCCTCATGGTAGCAGTATAAAAATTGTTCAAGATATTTCTAGCTGCCAGGTAGTAATCATCTTTAGTTTAAATATGACTTGGGACAAGGATGCAGGATGTGATACATGTACGTGTGTTTATTTGTTTGTAAGATACTGAAATTAAATGATGAACTAAAAATAGTTGCTGTCATTAAATCACCAATATATATCCAGTGCATGCTGTAGTAAATTTAGAAAGGGATTCTATTTTGTTCAAGATAATCACCTTCACTAGTAATGTAATATATCTGACATTTCTAATCTTACGTAATTTTAAGCTATTACATACTATATGTAAATAAGCTATATTTAAGCTACAACAAAACGCATATCGATTTTTGAATTTTTTTTTTCTCGTTTTACAATTTATGGACTTTAAATAAATCTGTTAAACACAGCAATTTTGTATCGAAAATGCTTATTAAAATTATTCAAAAACGCCATCTCTTTTTATTTTCACTGTTAGGCAATAGTCTACATCAGTAATTATATCAAAGGGCAATTAACATTCAGCGGTGCCGGGAGGAGAGTGAGATACGCACAACCTCTGTTCCCTTCTACTTCAGAAAACCAGAGTTCTCAGACCAAAGAGAGAGAAACCACCGTTCGGTTCCAGCTGAAAAAGTCATAGTTATTTTATTGAAGTTTTCAGAAGACTATATAATACAACTGAAGTATAAACATAATTCTGTCACATATGCCATTTCTTTTTGCGTGTGAGAAAAACTGGAAGGCAACCCTACCACGCTCTCAAATATAAACACACATTTTGATGTTTTTTAAAAAGTACGCGAGGAAATCACCTCCACAGTGACTCATCTTACACCCAAATCTTTACTCTGTCACAATTACATGCAATATCAACAATGATATACACCCAAACATTACTTTATGGGTACTACATGAAGAAGTTTGTTTCGAAGTGTACCAGTTTAACTGTCCTGGAACCATGGAGAATAAAAAATAACTCCTCATCTAACCCCAAAAAAGAACATTACCGTCACAAATGGAAAACTTTCAGCTGCGGAAGTGTATTACTCAGTTTGAAAATTCTATCAACACTGCTTTTTTTTCTTAACTTATAATTTCGTGAAAAAACTCACAATTTTCTGTATAGAGCGATCAATTATTTATGTGCGATTTTAGTTTGTCACTGTATATTTAAAAGAAGGATAAAATCGGCATGCTGACAACAAACAAGCACAAAGTGAACTATATTCGTGGTGCAAAATTATTTCAGAAATGTCTACTTACACATGACAACCCTGTTGCCTATTGCACCAAGTGCTTGGACAAGACTAACCTTTTTTCGGACGATTTTTCTGGGGAACATACGTTTCATTTTAGCCATGACGCAAACCCCCCTGAGTTACAGTTTAAAATATTACTAAGAAGTCCTTATGTCAGCTTTTATTTACCATGAATGAATCAATAAAACATATTTGGAACATGATACAAGAAAATAAAAAAATATATATCACCAGAAACAACTAGGTACGAAAAAGCTAAAAAAAAAAAAAAAAAAAAAAAAAAAAAAAAAAAGCTTGCCGCTTGATTATCGATTAGACACTGAATAGATTCCCCGCGGGAATTACGCAGCAAGCATTCAGGTTGGCCGGCCATATTTGATCCTCGGATTTGTAAGTCCGCTCTTAGAGCGCAACAAGTTAATCTGCAGACTAACAGATCTTCGGAATAAATATGGCCGACTCGCTTAACTCGCTTAAAAGTAATGATACTAATCCCCTAGGTCTACTGCCTCCCCACGCGCCGTCGCTGTCTAGCAATTAAACCTCTGAGCCGAGATTTAGTCTATTAATGGCGCTTGTGGAGGCGGAGAGACCATCGGGGAATTAAGCAACTTGTTTTTAAGCAGGGTCGGCCATATTTAGTAGGCGGATAAGTTAGTCCACTGATGATCTGTTCTGAATGTGCTCTTAGTTGCAAATTTTATCAGCATTTTTAGAGTACCTTTTATACACTCTTTCATTTGATAGGAGAATGCTGCATGTGGCGATACAGAAAGAAAAATGATTCAAAACTATCACTTGTACCCCCCCCCCAATTCCATGTCGTCAGAAAATGAAAAAACGGCCGTTTTTCATTTCCATTTGATAGAAATGGCCAACGAAACTCAATTTTCGTTTTTCTATTTAAAATGAAAAATGGAAAAACGCGAATTGCCCTCGTTTTCTATGTTTTACCATAAAATGCAAAATACAACATCAACAGATCCCCGATGTGATAGAAAATATGAATATCGACCGTTTGCGTGCTTACTTATGTTTAAAAGGTGAAATAAATTATAAAATACCCTTTTATCTCTGTCTTTGAGGAAATGACAGGAAGTGTTCATTATTCAATTTTCGATTCAAATAGTAAAACGGATGTCCGTTCGTTTTTCTGATTTTCATTTTATGAATGAAAATGGAAAAACGGACGTGGATGTTTCGATATTCCATTTCTTCACAGGAGATGTTAGCACCTCGCAAAAAATAAAATTTCTTGTCAAAATGATGAAAGTGACGATCTCAAAAAGATGTTAGCACCTGCTAAAATTTTTTTTCTGATCAAAATGATACTTTCATCTTTTTCGTACAAACTGCTTTCCATAAATATTCGGTAAAATTGTATTGAAATACAGATGATAGCATTTGAAATTTGAAACGTGAATTTTGTGTATTCCTTCATTTTAACTAGACTTGACACAAGTTTGCCCTTGGTTCTTGGAAACATTGTGTGCTTTTCATTTTAGGCGCGTGTAGTATTTTGACATCTTCATTCATTCCGTAAGATACACAAATGTGCAAAGCGAACGTTGATTTCCAGTAATGCAAATAAACCACGCCTAATAGTTTCTTATACGATAAAAAAAAATCAAGATACCACGCCAAGTCTTAAACCAAATTCATCTCATGTTAAAATTGCACCTTTTGGTCGTAAATTGTCTTATTTGTCTGTCTCTCCAGTTCATAAAGGTCCGATAAATAACGTAGTGCTGGGCGCGTTTTGCATAACCATCACTCTTACTTCTATGTAGTACAGATGTATACATGTAGCTACGAGCGCATTTGCACACTTACATGTATTAAATGAGACTGCTAATGTATATTTATAGCCAGAAACAAAGAAGAAAAATCTGTCCGTATATCATTTTTTCGGTAAATATGAAAAATATCCTTTGGTATTTCTCTAAGTTACTGTGTTCTATTTGATAATATATAGTCGTGTCAGACAGTCTCCTGATTCGCTATTTGGCAGTGCCATGGAAGTTTTGGACATCACTGGGATGATGCAGGGGGAAAGATCAAGACGACACTGATTCCAGCAAGACAAGGTCACCCCCAACACATCAAATGACTCCCTAGCCTGACTGAGAGAGCGATTTCAGGAGTAATTGATCAGCAGTGAGACATTGAGTGGGCACTGCATTCACCGGACTTGAGCCCGCGCAGATTTTTATCTGTTGAGTTATCTCAAGGATAATTTGTACCAGAACAACCCTTAAAAGATCAGTGAGCTGAGGGCAGCAATCACAAACACACACACAAAAAAAAAAATCAGGGAAGTAGCGAAGGAGGAATGTGAGAGATCTTTTTTCTTTCTTTCTTCTTTTTCTTTATTTTTTTTTTCTATTTTTTTTTTTTTTTTGGGGGGGGGGGGGGGGGAGGGGAGATGTCACCCTGCAGTTTTAGCTGCGGAATTTAGGGCAGCCAATATGTAGTTTTGCCACTATGACCAACACAATAGTTTTTAATCAAATAGATCGATGATAGGCTGCAAAGAGAACCCCGGAATTCAGCATTAAAAGTTTTAAACAAACCTTGAACGGAATACAGTATACAGATCGCTTTTAAAATTCCGTTAACAAATGTCTTGATCTACCGAGGAACCTTAAAACAAATAAAACGCTTCTCATAATACTACAATATTCTTACGTAATATTGGAGTACCTATACCTACTGAATTATTCTTTTGATGTTTTCAATATGAAACCTGGCTCTAATATACAAAATTGCAATGGATTGCAGAGGCGGATTTAGGGGATCAAGGGGTCCTAACCCCCCCCCCCCCCTTCGCTTTCTGAAAAAAAAAACACACCAATGGTCCGCTCTTGAAATTAGAATTTTGACTAGCTAAATCAGTTCTTAACCGAACCAAATGGCACTGTTCGCCCTCAGCGGGCCCTAAACCCCACGCCAAGGAGGGGGGTGGGGGTCGACTTCGCATCCGCGGACCCCCCTTCATGTTATCCTGGATCCGCCCCTGGATTGTTTTATAAAGTGGCATTTAGGGTAGGCAGCTCTCGTTTTGAAGCGATTCCATCATAATCTGTCATTTTTACTTCCGTCACAGCGACTGTATGTGCCTCATGAAATTCGAAAAAAAATCTTAACCGATTTAATATTTGATCGGATTTTTATTATGGTACTCAAGTGTGGTATAAGGATAAACAGACAGGTATGGTAAGCTCTAAAAAAAGGCGCAAATTCCCTTAGAAAACGAATTTCACCCGGGTAAACTGCATTTTTTCTGGAACTAATTATACCAGTCCATTTTTGTTCTAAATCATCAATCCTAACTACCCAAGAGCACTTTCACTATTAGAGTTTCTTACGATACTATAATACTAAGATACTATGATCAGAATTCAACAGAAGTAGGCCTAAACGGATTCAAGTTCAGTCCGAATGCGGTGTCAAAAGAGGAAAACTGACTTCCCACGCCTGTGAAAAAAAAAAGAAAGGAAAAGTGAGAGAAAGAGGATCAAAGAGTATTGTTTTCATTTGGTGGTTAATCAGCTAGCTGGACCAAGCTGAAAAGACCTAATTGTTTACTTGTACTTCAAACCAAGAAGTTATAAAGACAAGGAGTAGAAACGGGACATCAATTATCTCTCTCGTCCAATCAGATCGCAGCGTTCTTTTCAAAGCGGCGTCCTTTGAAATTGGATCCTCGTAACTGGTCTAATCCTCCGCGTGGCTCAAGACGGAGAGGATGAACTAGTGCGTGTACTTCTTGATTTATTCATGTTTAATGCGAATATTTGGAAGTTGCACTTAGAAAAACGCCAAGCCGAGCGATATAAAGGTGAGTGAGAGTTGAAAGTATGCTTTGAGCATTGTTTTATGTTCAGACGGTGGCTGTCAGTCAAATTTGCCTGTGCAGAAACCAGCGTTAGCTCGAAGATCTGAGGCCGATTCAGCGGGACCTCCATGTTTAGGACTGTTTTCTTCTAAATTGCGTGATGTATGCACATAATTTATGTTTTTCTGGTTAGTTAAGCACGTGCACCATTACATTACATCATTGTGGTATTACACGAATCAATACTTTAGATGAAAAACATCGTTTCAAATAGACAACTTTTCATCAGACTTTTTCAAAATGGCGGGTCCCAAAATTTGTAAGTGACAGTNTTTTATCGGGCTTTTTCAAAAGTGCTGGACCAAAATTTGATGACAGGGAACTCTCTCGGATTTTTTTTTTCAATTTTTTTTTTTTTTTTGTTGCAATATGATGTTTGAAGAGTTTTGTTTAGGATATGGAGTTATATTTTGTAATGAATTTCGTACTTATTCATTTCAGGTTGAAGAGAATGCAGGTGAAAGATCTCTAGTTTTGCTGGAAGATGTAGCCATAATTGAACAGTCAAAATGATTGTTTCCAGCAGCAACTTGATGAGGCACAAGGCTCTGTTTTCTTACCACCACTAACATTAAACTACAGTGCACAAGAGGTAACCATCGATGGTTTTGGGTATAATTTCAGTCAAGCTTTCAAGTACCTTAATACTTAATCTACAGTTACCAGTTTCCCTATAACAGAGGTTGTGATTTATTATTTTTAAGATTTTTGGGAATGTTTGTGTGTAAAGTTTTTTTTTATGTATAACTATTAAAACTCTATTTTTTCTAGGCTTGTTCAACATGACTGAGACCAGAAATAACCATTTGCCATTCCTTGATCTGCAATTAATATAACAGAAGTTCCTTTCATCTCAAAATGCTGTGTGTCAGTGAGCACCATCACACCTTTTGACGAACTTTTTAAGGGATAAAAATATTTTTGAGCTGTGCTGGCTGTTGCTAATGATAACATTTATTGGTAATCAGTGTACTTAAATTTGTCATATTATCTTAGGTTTGAACCACCAAAAGAATGGTATATGCAGTTAAAAAATACATTGTTTTTAGTTTAATTTGCAAGTTTTTGCACACATGATATGGTTTGTAGACAAATGTGCTATTTATTAAAGATTAATTAATTCAGATGCAAATATGAACTGATACTGGATCGCAGGTTAATTTGTAAAATTTAATTTTTGGCTAAAATTGAAGAGTGCTCCAAGTTTTAAAACAGAATTTGGCTTACTGTCTAAAGTATGATATTAAATAATCACCACATCAAAATAAAAACTTACCATTTTTGCCACATTCATGTATTTTTGCATTGCTTTAATCAATGTTGGGTGTAACAATATTGACATATTTTCATTGCTGGTACTTTGTTTTAGATGTTTTACAAGTTGCTCAAATGTTGAAATAAAGCAATATCAATCGATAAAAATATTTCTTTCATTTTTTTGTTCTAATGAATTTAAACTATCAGTTTACAATAAGTTGGTCTCATGTAATAGACGAAGATATAAACAAAAATATGTATAATGAAATTTTATTAAGAATCGTACGAAGTGCAATAACTTATTTTCATTTCCCCAATTTTCCTGTGCAAGCTTTTCTCTACCTGGTATATAAGAAATAATGTGCAGAAAAGAAAGAAATGAGAATGGCATACGGAAATTGCAAGTTCTACTGTTTTGTGCACACGGGTGTGAATTGAATGTGTTATAATGTTATTCCAAGATGAAGGTAAATTTCCTTTACACGCCAAAAAGAATTTAAAATAAAAATGAGACTTCTACAGGTGCTAATTTTAGCGTTGAAGGTGGGTTTGTGAAATTGTTCTCATACATTCTTGATGTGAAACTAATTTTTGTATAACTGATCGGCTTTAGATCAAACGGAGGTGTATCTTACATGATTTGAGATTTATTTCCCGAAATGGTTGCGTACAGGCTGGAAATCTCTCTCTACACCTTTTTGTAATCCCACCATGTTTTCTATTTGAGATTATTAGAGACTTCGCGAGACTTTGTCCCAATTGGCTGAAGCAACCCACGTGGACGGTCTTTTGAATATGTATTAGGCACAAGCTCTCCCCAAGACCACAAGCTGGGTAATTATGAGGATTAAGCCCGTTACGATGATAGGATGAAAGGAAACCCCTCGTTTCTACTCCTTCTCTTATAACTTCTTGTTCAAACGTACTCTCAGTCACCTTGTGAGCTCTGCAGTATAAGGATAAACAGACAATGTTTTTAGATTTCTCGAAGATGTTTAGAAACTAGGTAGATCGAACAGAAAAAGGGGAATCAACATCAATGACACATGTGACGCACTGTTCATTTTGAAATGGCGACAGCTTCAATCGGAGATGAAGACGGAAGTTTGAGGGTAATAATTCGAGAAAATTTCACCAACTGCTCCATCTGCCTCAAAGATTTTGAAGATCCAACAGTTCTCCCCTGTCTCCACACCTACTGTAAACGATGTCTGGCCAGCTACATCCCCGAAAATACACCAGGTATGATGTGTTGTCACAAAAGTTTAACCAGGAAGTATACAGTGTAGTTTCATGTTTGATAAGAAACATGGGGGTCGGCCATATAGATAAACGTTCTAATAAATATTCGTCCCGATAGATACGTCTCTATACATACACGTCTCAATAGATTTACGTTTCGTTAAATTAACGTTCCGTTAGATCCACCAACAGTTTCCTATAAACCCGCGTGTCCTTAGATCCAGGAACCGCTAGATCCATCTGATGGCATCGTAATCGGCTAAAATGCCGATATTAACTTGAGATACAGGTACGAGGCTTTCGAGTGATAGTCTAACTGCCAGTGCTGACCCACTTAGTGATCTGACTTAATTACAACCTGATATTTATTACTTATTATTTATTAGGTATGGTAAGCTCTAAAAAAGGCGCAAATTGCCTTAGAAAGCGAATTTCACCATGGTAAACTGCATTTTTCCTGGAACTAATTATACCAGTCCATTTTTGTTCTAAATCATCAATCCAAACTATCCAAGAGCACTTTTACTATTAGTTTGAGTGTCTTACGATGTCTTAAGATACTATGATCAGAATTCAACAGGAGTAGGCCTAAAGGGATTCAAGTTCAGTCCAAATGCGGTGTCAAAAGAGGAAAACTGACTTCACGCGCCTGTGAAAAAAAAAAAGAAAGGAAAAGCGAGAGAGAGAGAGGAGCAAAGAGTATTGTTTTCATTTGGTGGTTAATCAGCTAGCTGGACCAAGCTGAAAAGACCTAAAATACACACACGAGAGACATGTTTACTTCTACTTCAAACTTACTCTCAGTCACCTTGCGAGCTCTGCAACTTGGGGAACAACGCAGTAATGTGGTCGGTAAAACTATCCAAAGTATGCAGGCATAAACCCAACGCCTGTATTGACGTTATTTTTGCTCGTGTAGACGTAACTTCTACAGGTGTTTAAACAAGACATACATGTACGTTCGCGTCTACACTTCTACCATTTACTATCATTTACTATCATTTACTCCATTCTGCAATTTACGCACGTAACTTCATCAATGTAAATAACCTCTATATAGATATAAATTAACGCCGATTTTTGTTTGTAAATTTTGGGTATGTTTGTCAACCATACAGTAATGGTTTCTGTCAAGTATACAAGACAGTTATCAGGCAGAATCATTCATGCAAATGCCCACATAAATCATACACAGTATAAAATGAAACAAAATAAGAGGGGTTTACTTGTAAAACTCTAAACATTATTTCATCAACTTTTGCAGAGCTCTTAATTGACGGTGGTGGTGTGTGTGTTTCTGGGATTAATCGCTATGAAAAGAAAATATGATCTTAGGTTCCTGTCATAAGTCTTCGTAATCAACTCTAAATGAATGTAACATAAAAATAACAAAACATCTAGTGAAATCATAAATTTCTATCAGATAATGCATTAGTAATGTAAATTACCCGAAGATTGCGTAAAAACGATCTAAAAGAATAATAAATTGCTGAAGGGATTAATGTGTGTACTGTCGTTTTAAAAAGTGCATTTCATGTACTGAGTAGTATACCAACCAATGGATCTATCGGTATTTGGATCTAAAAATACGTGAATCTATAGGTATGCGGATTTATAAGTACGTGGGCTTACGTAGACGTCGTATCTATAGGAACGCAAATATATACATGTAGGACGGTGGTAAAAAATAGGATCTATCGGTATTTAAATCTAAAAATACGTTTTTTCAGTTTTTCCTTTATGTATCTATCGGTAACGGGAGTATAGGGACGTGTAATATTTTGGGACGAAATTTTATCGGTACGTCCCCAAAACATGCACTGCCCCTATTCTTTGTTACATTAGTGACCGACTACATCCGTGATAAACTGTAATAGGCCTAGACAAAGTGCGACATGTGACATATTAGAATAACTTGTGGCACTTTTGTACATTAATATAAAATAGGGGAGACCGGGGCTAGTTGGACCCCGGGGTAAGTTGCCCCCCCTCCCCCCGTCAATTTATGAAAAAGTAACTACGAGGTAAAAAAAATTGGCCACATATTCTTACAAAGAGACCGTAGCCTACAATGCTAAGGAAGTGTCGGACGTTAAAGTTTTACTTAAGCGGTTAGTCGAAATAAACGATTTTTGCACCTAAAAGTTATTTTGTTTAAGAGATTTAAAAATCTATTTTCATAGGCTTTTGATCGAATATAATATATGTATAGGGCATCAAACTGAAGGTCATTGTTTCAAGTTTCACAGAGATGTATCATCGTTGCTTATTCTAGCACCATAAATGGCTGCCCGCCTTTAAAGTAAAAAATGTGCACCCGGCTAGTTGCCCCCCCTTGACTCGGGGCAAGTTGGACCATCATACTACCCACAAACCTTTGCGCGCAACAGAGCTAGAGACCATCGTTGAAACAAACTCAATGGTTTAAAACTGAATGTGTTACTTTCTTTTAAAACGAAAATTTATTAATCATTTCCATTCATTAAAAACTTGCTTTATACCATTATTAATTTATTCTTGATTAAAACAAAACAAATTGTATTGATAGATATTTTTGTTCTTGCAACACAA